ACATACGTTTAACTTGTTCCGAATATATATATTATTCTGAAAACAAGTGAAGTGCGTGCTATTCATTTATCGTCAACAAGTCACAGACACTTACTGTAGAAGAATCCTAAGCCCAACAACAACACACTATATATTTATACTATTAAGAAATATAAGTACAAGCCTTTTATTTTGACAATTGATGAGTAATTATATTTATAAATTCTGACAGAGAGAAACCTTGCTCTTACCCTGATCGCAACTATCATTCTGAGAAAAATAGTTGTTAAATCTTTCTTACTGACTTATTATTTTAAGCATATGCAACCAGTTTAATAATTATTTGCAAAATATTGTTTACTGTAAACTTTCTTTTGAATTGTTCAGTGTTACCCGTTTACGGACACATTGTACCTAGTGGCGCCACAAAGCGACTTACTTTAAGTACATGAGATTGGCTGTGATATTTACAGTTAATTAAATGGAATAAAGCTACAACAATAAAAAATGCACACATACGGAATTGTTGTCATGGATACTTTTTGTAGCGGAAAACAAAGCTTTACTTACAAAAAAAAAACAACAACAACATAAGCTGGTCGCATCTTGCATAGTATATAATAAACAAATTTCCCGCCGGCTTTCTGTATGAATCTAACTGTTACTCTGTTAATGTGCGCTACATTAACGATGGTATAAGGTATAAGAGTTAAATATTAACAAATCTCTTTAAGTTTCAGGGTTCAATAGTTGTTTCCAGCTGTTTTTACTTCACTAAATTTAAAAGCTGTAATCATTTTCCACTCAGCACTCCAATAATCAAAATATATTCCAAATCTTGTCTTAATCGCGTTAATGTTTTCTTAGATATGTAATATTCTTCTTGAAAACGTCAAATCATTGTAATGTACACACATATACTAACCCATTATAGCGTACCATTCGATACCTTAAATTTTTAAAATCAGGTATTAAACAGGAGTTCTCAAATTTTTGTGGGTCAAGCGTCTCTTTATAAAAATGATATAATTTGGTGCCCTCTCCCCGAGATATGCACATACATAAAACATGACATGCATGCCTTTTTTTTCACACCCTACAAGTCTAGCCACCTTGTATTCGGTAATTGTGTAAAATGCCTCGAATAGTGCTACTAAATTAAATCAAAGTGTGTTTTGATAGTTTATCTGCTTTATAAGCACGGTTTCCTAGTTTCAAATAAGGCACCAATGTAGAAAACTTATCTTAAAAACATCAGGG